CTGTTGTGTCGCCTACGGCACGGACGTCGTCCGGGTGTGTCTGCCCTGCTCGCCTCGGGGTTTGTGCCGACTCACGCCGGGTGATCGACCTCAGCGTGTTCATGGTCGCGCTGCCGCGCCATTTTGGTTGCGTGCTCGTTGGTCGCCACCGGGGTCTCCACGTCACCGAGTTGGGAGATTTATTCCCCATCTCCTAAGTATGGGGTTCTTGTTATTGGCGGACCGCGCTGGAGGAACAGAGAGAGAGAGAACATAACACGCCACTCCTCTCACTCAGACCCACTCACTCATCACTCAGACCCAATCTTCACTCATACCCACTCATCACTCAGATTCACTCATCAGTCAGACTCATTCACCACTCGGACTCAGTCATGATTCAGAGTCATCGCTCATCACTCAGATTCACTCATCACTCAAACTCACTCATCACTCAGACTCACTCATCACTCAGTGTCACTCGTACTTGTACTCATACATTCACTACACTCATTCAGGTCCACTCATCGGATGGCACACACACGCACTGATGTTGAGGATGTTTCAGGCGATTCTGTGGCACCAGCACTCCTAAGGGGAGCGGCGGGGGGGTGTTTCACTCGGCCCCATTCGCAGGATTTTGTGGGGATGTCTCGAGCGGTTTTCTTGTTTTCTGTCACAACATCCTTCGCTTTCGGAGCAGATTTGGAGGATGTCTCGAGCGAGACGCTCATTTTCACGTTCCTAAGGGGGGCGGCGGGGGGGTGTTTCACTCGGCCCCTTTCGCAGGATGTTGTGGGGATGTCTCGACCGGTTTGCCTGTTTTCTGTGCCAACATCCTTCGCTTTCGGGGCAGATTTGGGGGATATTTCGAGCGAGGCGCTCACTTTCACCCCCCAGGTGGGCCAGATTTGGAGGATGTCTCGATCGGTTTGCTTGTTTTGGTGGCCGGGCTCGTGGGCGCAGATTCTTCTCAGGATGCCACAGGAGGCTCCAACAGGCTCCAGGAGGCCCCAGGAGACCACATGAGGTCCCAGGAGGCATCAGGAGGCCACAGAAAGATTCAAGAGGCCACAGGATGTCCCAAAAGGCTCCAGGAGGCCCCAGGAAGCTCCAGAAGGCCTCAGGAAGCCACAGGAGGCCCCAGGAGGCAACAGGAAGCGCCAGGAGGCCTCGGAAGGCAACAGGAGGTCCCGAGAGGCCCCAAGAGCAGGAGGCCTCAGAAGGCAACAGGAGTGGCTCCAATCCCATGTGTTTTACGTATGCTCCTATCGATTGGGCCTCACCTGGAGCACGATTCTTTGATATTATACGTATGTTTATATGGATTGTCCTTCTCCTGTGTACACAATCCTGCATGTTTTACTTATGTTCACATATATATATATATATATATATATAGCTGTGTAATATAATAATATATATATATATATATATATATATATATATATATATATGTATGTATGTATGTATATATATATATATATATATATATAGCTGTATATATATACATATATACATATATATTGGGCCTCTCCTGGGGCACGAGTCTTTGGTGTGTTACGCGTGTTCCTATACATTGCCCTTCTCCTGTGGCTCTAATCCGCAATGTTTTATGTACGTATGTTGCTATAGATTGCGCCTCTCGGGCACGAAACCTCCCTAGGAGGTCCCAAGAGACCCCAAGAGGCTCCTGGAGACCCCAGGAAGCCCCAGTAGTTTAGACATTCACGGCGGACAGTTCCATGCGAATAGATGCACATATGGGGAGCTCCACGCAGTGAATAATTTTAGGCTCTTTTTCCTCTGAGTGGCTGCCCGCGCGCTCACTTTGCTTGCCTCTCTTTTTGCTGCCTAGTCGCGGCCCGGCTAGTGTTTGGACGGTTTTCGACCTGTTTCGTGGGCCCGCAGATTTTTTGCTCTTCGCTTTCTTTGTCGTTTCGCCCCCTCCTGCTTCGCCCGCGGTGCCGTGTAGCCGGCTCGGCGTAGCGGCCCTTTCCTTTTCCGCGCGACTTTGCGACGCCGCGCGGGTGTCCGCTCGCGGTCGCGTTTCCCCCCCTCCCCCCCCGCATTTTGCCCCTGGGCTCTCGGGCTTGCGACTCTCGCCCGTGGTCGCTGCCTCCGCCCGCTCGGGGTCGACTGACGCTCGGTCCTCCCCCACTCCCCCCACGCCGCCTCTCCCAGGGTCGGCTTGTGCCCCTGGCTTGGGCGCCGCCGCCTCCAGTTCAAGGCGTGGCCTTTTCTGCTGGCTCGTCGCCTTCGCCGCCGTTGTGTTGCCCTGGCGTCGCTTCTCCTGCACCCCCGCCGTGGTGGCGCTTCCGCCGGTGGCACGCTCCCACTCCTGGCGATCCGGAACTCTTTCGTTGAGCGCCTGCACGCCCGATCGTCGTCCTCGTGTACGTGGACTTCATGAATTTCGCCACTTCGGTGCTGCATCCCGACCAGTGGCTCCTCCTGGTCCACCGCGTCTTTTGAGCCGCAGCGTAGCTCGCTCCTGTGCGCTCTTGTGCGGAATTTTGCCCGCTGCCTGTTAGCCGCGTTTCTTGACGGTGCCTGACATCCCTGCGCGGTCGCGAACAAAAAAGTATCCCCGCCAGCCCATTCAGAGACCTTGCCCTCCAGAACTGACGGGAAAAGACACGAAAATGCACATCCAGGGAAACAAAGCGAGCAAAGGGGTGGCCTTGTAAGGCCTCTTCGGAACATCCTTGGGCGCCGCGTGGGGGCGAGTGGAAGAGGAGGTGGAGGATGGGGAGGATGGGGAGGAGGAGGAGGAGGAGGAGGGGGAGGAGGGGGAGGAGGAGTAGGAGGAGGAGGAGGAGGAGGAGGAGGAGGAGGAGGAGGAGGAGGAGGAGGAGGGGGGCGAGGAGGACGAGGAGGACGAGGAAGACGAGGAGGACGAGGAGGACGAAGAGGACGTGGATGAGGACGACGGCGAGGACGAGGGGGATCTTGAAGCCTCTTTGGTATCTTTCAGGGGACCTCAAGGGCATCTTGGGGGACATTTTGGTGAGCGTCGATGAAATGAGGAGGGGTTATCGACGTCGTTCCCCCCCCCCCCCTTTCAGGAGCCCTCACCGTCGCATCTTGGAGCCAGTTTCGTTTTTTTTTTTTTTGTATTTGGGCCCTCTTGGGGCTGCCTTGGGGCCCTCTTGGAGGCCCCCCCCCCTTTGGGGTCGTCAGAACTTTTTTGGGCCGCTCTTGGGGCCATCTTGGTTTTTTGTTGTTGCCATTTCGGTGCCATCTTGAGGCCGCACGAGCGCGTCGGAAACGAGAAGGCAACACATCATCAGTTGTCCCGGGTTGTTGGAGGATTTGGGGCTCCTGGAAGAGGGGTCCTGAAGGGGTTTCCAAAAGCACGTGGAACCGTTTCGTGGTCATCTAGGGGCCTCTTGGAGGCATATTGTTAGCTATCTTGAGCCATGAAAGCCATCTTGGGCTCTCTGAGGCCCTCTTTGGAGCCATCTTGAGGCCATTTTGGACGCTCCAACCGATCGCGGCCCCTCCCGTCCACGTCCAGGGGAGGTGGTAGGGGGAGGGGTCAATACACCCTCTCCGCACGCAAGTTGTCTAGCTCGCTCCCACCCTCCCTCCCACCACATAAATGGCATTCGAGTCTCGGCATAGCCAGGGGTCGCCACTGGATGGACAGTCATTGGGAACCAAAGCGGCCACCAGGTGCGCGACACTCGCCGTCGGCTCCACATGCGGTTGGTGTGCCATTCTTGCAAAAAACGTGATGCCCTCCCCGTCCGCATGGTCCTGATGCTGATGTGGGGGGCGTCAGCATTGTTCTGGGCTTGCGCAGAGCAAGAAGCATCATGCGGGCACCACAGGAGCCCTTGTCAAAACAATACAAAGTGATCGCGGTTGGCCAGCACAATACCCGACGTTGTCGCAACGTGAACTGTGCAATGTTTTTGACACGTGTGGTGGTCCATGTTTCGCTGCAATGTGCATTTCGTATTGTTTTTGACAAGGATTGTGGAGGATGTTGGCAGGGTGGGCCCCGCAATGTGCATGTCGTATTGTTTTTCGACAGGGGTGGTGGGGGTGGGGGCCCGGGGACCCTCATGGTGTGCACTTGGTTCCGGATTGGCTGCCGGCCGCATGGGGGATGGAGTGTTTTTTTTGATCGGGATAAGTGCTCATCCCCTCCCCGAATTGGAGGGGTAAACCCCTCCCCGAAGGGGAAGACTGGTTTTTGGAAGAGGAAAGAATGACATCGTTGGACCACCTGCGCCCAGTGGGCTGATGGAATTCCCCATCCAAGATATTTCCTCATCACCTCTTCCCCTAGGCAGCCCCCGTACTCCCTTGGCTCCGACCTCTCTTCCAGGCCGCGTCGCCGCGTGGCAGCGCACCGCTTCCCCCACGCTCCCCAGCCCCAGCCTCTCCAAGCAGCTCCCCTCATCCATCCCTCCCGAAGCACGCTTGTCGTCCGCATGAGCGACGCAGAAAAAAACGGGCTCGAGTGTGCCGACATCCGCGCGAGAGCTCCCCGCGTGAGGTCGCGTAAGGTCGCCCTCCTTTTTTCCACGCCGTGTGCTGCGCCGGCGGCCCGCGTGAGCCGCAGCGTGAGGTCGCCATGGCACCCCCTCGTGAGATCAGCTTCTTTGTGTCGCCCACACGCCACCGCTGAGGAGGAGGAGGAGAAGGAGGAGGAGGAGGAAGAGGAAGAGGAAGAGGATGACGACGACGACGACGACGACGACGACGACGACGACGACGACGACGACGACGACGACGTGGCTTTCGCCCCGCCCGTCCCGCCCCAATTCGGCCCCCGACCAGCCTTGGGCCTCGTCCTCCCTGCGCCGGCAAACCACAGCGCGGCGCTGCCGTCACAGCTCCTGCTCCACCTGCCCTTCCCCCCTCCCGAGACAGATGCTCTTGCTCCATGGCTCTGGCTCTCTCCCTCTGGCTCTGTGGCTATGTGGCTCCAGCTCTGGCTTTCTCTCTCTCTCTCTCTGGCTCTGGCTCTCTTTCTCTATCTCTCTCTCTGCCACGCGGCCCCACAGGAGATCTTCGAAAGAGCGGGGAAAGTCTGCTCCCTTCGGCTCGTCTTCGACAAGGAGCTGGGTGGCGGGCGCCGCGGTGGCAGAAGAGGCGTCGGCGGGGAGAGGGCGGGCCACCTCCTTCGAGAGCGGCGGCGGGCTCCCCCCCGACGGGCGGACGGCAGTCCGGACGCGTGGCGCGCGGAACAGCCGGCTTCGGCCCCTCCGCTCCGACATCTCGGGACGATCGAAATGGACACGGAAAGAATGGGCACAAAGACCGACAGTCGGCATCGCCGCGGACGTTGTTCGTTCGAGACAAAAGGCCGCCCGCCCAACAGCGGCCGCTGTCGGTTTTGGGCAACATCTGTTGTCGAGCATCGTGCCCCTTCTTTCCGTACCCATTTCGAGCGTCCAGAACATCGCGGCTCAGGAGACGGGGGTCCATGCAGACGGGGGTCAGTAAGAGCGCCGGGTCGGGCAGGATCCTGCAGAGCCAGGGGCGCATGGACCCGGGTTGGGGTGCTGCAGGGTCCTGCCGGATCTTGCAGGATCTTGCAGGATCCTGCAGGGTCTGGGCTGGCCCGGGTCTGCAGGCTCGATGCACGGTCGCTCCCCCCGCCGTCGGGCGCTGTCAAAAGGAGCCCACGTGCGGCCGATCTGCCGCCACCCCTGTCGAATGGGAGATCGACGACACCTTAGGCGATGGTTAAGAAAACCCAAGTTTTCGGCCAGAGTCTCGATTATTCTTAACGTTTCAATGTAAATCCTAAGATTTCGATGGAAATTCTGGGCTTCTACTCAAGTTCTGAGACTATGAATTTCTTAACCCATGATTTCTTAAGCATTTTGCAGGGTGTACACCCCGGAGGAGTCGCAGGAACCAGGCGTGTGGCACGTTCGGGGGTTGCCAGAAGTGCCCACGGCCAAGGACGGGCTCCGGAATGCAGCGAGAAGCTGGGGGCACCCTGGGCCAGGGGCATCTCGGGTGACGCCCGAGGCGTGTGGCACGTGTCTCGCGTCGCGACCAGCCCCAGTCGGCAGTTGCGCCTCGCCCGCGGATCTCCGTGCCAAGGTTGTTGGCAGTGGCTTCGGCGTGTCTGCGAAGGCCGCTCCACGATGGTTCTCCTGGGCGCGCCTCCTGGTCAGCCTGCCATGGCGGTGCCTGAGACGAGCTGCGTGTCCTGGGATCTCGGGGGCGAGCTGGGGAGGGGCGGGCCAGGGGAGCGGATCCCGCCTGGCAGCAGTGCCTCGCGAAGGGTCCTACCTTCGGGAGGCGCCTCCGTCGCATAGGCCGATCAGCGTATGCTGCAGTAGCTGTGTTCAGAGGAGCAAGAAGTAATGATAATGATACGATCCAGGATGTCCAAGGTTTCCAGATTTTCCCCGATGTCCGAACGTTCCACACGGGCTGCAGACACGAGGGTCGCTAGAGAACTATTTTCTGGAAGCCTTATCATGACATCATTCTCGCCGCACGTGGGCTCCCGGTGCCAGCGATAGTGGGATGAAGCCGACTCGTGACAGACGCTGGCCGCGACCTTGCAGGGAGGGCGCAATGGAATCGATGGGCCCAGTGGAGAGGGCTTCCTCCTGTGCTCCCCGCCTCCTTGTTGCCATTCTTGTCTTTTTCTCGTCGTCGCTCCTCGAGGGGGAAACAGCTTGATTAAAAAGTCCATGTCGGGGATGCTCGGAATTTGTATGCCCATTGAGGTGAAGGTGGGAGATCACGAGGAAGGGCATGAGCACGAGAGCAGTCCGTTCTGAAATTGGTCCAGGCAGCACTCAGGTCGCACTATTGACATTGCTCAGTGGATTATTGTGAATGCATCGTCTGGCCTTGCCACAGTCATAGCCACGTGATGCATTTCAGGGGAGACTCGTCTAAAATTCGGCCCTTGCAATCTGAACAGGCGTTCTGACAGCAGCTAAAAAAACAACGGTGCTGATGGTGCGACGTGCATTTTGTTGGCACGGATTTCGCTCCATTGTACAGTCGAAGAAAGAGTTCCACGAAGATTCGGTCGTCAAGCAGAGATGGACGCGACCACAGCACGGACAGATCACAGTGGGGCATGCAACATGCGAGGACACGAACAAGCCCAAGGGCTACGGCTTTGTCGATTACGAGACCCCCGAGATCGCCCAGGACCACTGTGTTCAATGCCCATTCTATGTAGCGCTTGTTCTCACGCTGTTTTGTTTGTATCAGGATCCAGCATTCCGCAACCCTTCATTGCAGCTAGTTGTCTCCTTGTTGCTGGTTTCCTCGCCCTTGCTCGCACTCATTTCTCCGACTGCGAGCGATTGCGCCCTTCTCCCGCGCCTCCTCATTTGCATCAGTTATACTTCCCTGCTTCGGTCCCTCCGGTTTCCCTTGAGACGGTGGCTATAGCTATCATTACCTGGAGAGGTGTTGTGGTGAATGTATGTTGCTAGTATCCTCGATGCCTTGGTTGAGTAGTTAGTGATCCAACAAGTATAAGACCCCTATGTCGCGCTCCTTGATAACGTTGAGCTCGTAAACTTGATGTTGGTCTGAACTGGCATCCTCCGTGCTTCGCGCCTGGTCCACTCCGCCACCTGCCAAAAAGAACTCGTCGCAGTCCATGAGTTGGGTCCTATTCTGACTATGAGACACATCATGTGCGAAATGTATGTAGGCATATGGCGTACATGTTTCCGTAACCCTATGACGAGTTAGTCCCGTGTTCAACAGTCTTCATATTCCCTAGTGGTGGGCAGGGTCGTGATTTCCATCATAGCGTTATCGTCGTCGATCATCGGAGATGCCGTGTGTTGGGGATGGTGTGGCATAGCAGCGAAACCGACGCCCAAGACACACTTGGTCGGGGGAGACGGGCGGCAAGGCCGAACTTCTTTATCGCGGGGAGAAGTTACGAATCGAAGTTGTTACTGCCGTCTCTTCAGTAGCAACATTTCTATAGATGGACATATCTTGCGGCATGGCCCTGTGGTTATCGCCATGCCAGTTTTCGCAAATCACGAACGTGTGGCACAGACATATGATCTTATCACCATGAGTTTTGTCATTACTATACCGACTGCTACGACTACTACTACTACTACTACTACGACGACTACTATTATTATCAGTACTATTGCTACTATTACTACTACTGCTACTATTATTACTACTACTATTAGTCTTACTATTACTACTACTACTACTACTACTACTACTACTACTAGTACTACTAGTACTTCTACTACTACTACTACTACTACTACTACTACTACTACTACTACTACTACTACCAACACTTCTACTACCATTCCTACCACTACTGTTTTTCCATAACTACTGCTACTCTTACCACTACGACTACTACTACCACTACTACTACCACTACTACCATACACTATTAAGGCAATTAGCACTACTACTACTACTACTACTACTACTACTAGTAGTACTACTATTATTATTACTACTACCTCCACTACTACTACCACTACTACTACTACTACTAGTGTTACGACTGCTATTGCGACTACGGCTGCTACTACTACTACGACTACTACTACTACGACTACTACTACTACTACGACTACTACTCGTACGACTCGTACTATTACCATTACTACTACCACGACTACTCCCACTACTACTACATTCACTACTACTACGACTACTACTACTACTACCACTACTACTACGACTCCTACTGCCACTACTACCGCAATTGCTACTACTTACCACCTTTACTACTGCGACTGCTATCCGTATTACTGCTGCTACCATGATTATTAGCTACTACTTCAACGACTAATACCACAACGTTTTCCAGTAGTATTTGTACTAGTACAGCTTTAACGACTACGGTCATTGTTTCCACGACTCCGAGTAAGGCCATTAAAATTGCTACGATTGTTTCCGGATCTTATCATCGCCGCTACTCCTACTAGCACTACTACTAATACTGTTACAACTACTACTACTACTACTACTACTTCGACCACTGGTATTGCCACTACCACTGCTACTACTACGACTACGGATACGACTACGATTATTTCCAGTACTACTACTATGCTTTTCGACGGCTACGATTACTACCATTACTATCATGGCCACTACTACGACCCTTGCTACTACCACGGTTTAATTCTATTCCATTCAGAAGCAGTAATATTTCTATCGATTTTTTGTCATTGCGATTATTGCCATGTCTACCACTACCTTTATTATTATTGTTACTATTGGTGTTCGTGCCACTCATTTCACGACTGCTATAACTACTACCACTACGTATGCTACCAACACATTATTATTACCACTACTACTTTTTACGACTGCTACCACGATTGCGATTACTACTACTATTTCTACGTTCGTTATTATTATTTCTGGTACCGCGACCACTACCACTACTACAACTACTACTATTACGACTTCTGCCACTACTACTACCATTGCTGCTACTGCTGCTACTACTACTACTACTACTACTACTACCACTACTGCTACTCCTAGTATTACAACGACGCCGACTATTCCTACTTTTTACTACTACTGGTACTACTATTACTACTACTACTACTACTACTACTACTACTACTACCAGTACTAGTACTAGTACTCGTACTAGTACTAGTACTAGTACTACTACTACTCAAGTACTATGTCAACTAGTACCATCACTTTCACTACCACTACTACTGGCACTACTACTACTACTACTACTACGACTACTACTACTACCACTACTACTACTACTACTACTACTACTACTACTTTTATTACTACTACTACTACTACTACTACGACTACTACTACTACTACGACAACTACTCCTACGACTGCCATGTTTTATTGCGACTGCGACAACTACGACTACGACTTCTGCTGCGACTGCGACTACGATCATTACTTTTATTATTACTACTACTACTACTAGTACTAGTAGTACTACTACTACTATTACCACTAGTCGTAGTGGTAGTAGTAGTGGTTACGCAGCACCCCGCAGATGTGGATAAGAGTGAGGGGGCGGTGGGGGCGCCGGCAGTCTGCGAGACTCCTGGAGAAGCCCGCCGCAGGCGCCCCTCTTTCACAAGTTTTACAACGAACCCGCCGCCGCCGCCGATTCTTTCTTCGAACCAATGTGGATCGGTCGCGGGTGGGCCGCCGGGTGGGTCGCAAGTGGGTCGCAAGTTCGTCGCGGATGGGTCGCGGGTGGGTCGCGGATGGGTCTCGGTGTGGGTCGTGGGTGGGTCGCGGGTGGGTCGCGGGGTGGATCGCGGGGAGGTCGCGGGTTGGGTCGCGGGTGGGTCGGGGGGTCGCGGGTTGGGTCGCGGGTGGGTCGCGGGGTGGGTCGCGGGGTGGGTCGCGGGTGGGTCGCGGGGTGGGTCGCGGGGCGGGTCGCGGGTGGGGTCGTGGGTGGTTCGCGGGGGCGGCGACGACAACAAACAGCTACAACAACAACAACGCATCAATCATAATCTTCACCACGGCTTCTCACTTCAGCCACGCACCCAGGGACAATGAATGACCGTTCGCCCTCCCTCACTGTGACTACTGTTACTACTGTTACAACGAATACTACTACGACTACTACTACTACTACTACTACTACTACTGCTACTACTAATACTACTACTACTACTACTTCTACTACTTCTACTACTTCTACTACTACTACTACTACTACTACTACTACTACTACTACTATTCGTATTACCACTACCACTACTACAACTACTACAACTTCTCTCATTATTTCCACCACTACTACCACTACTACTACTGCTGCTACTACTACTGTTACTACTACTGATACTACTACTACTACTACTACTACTACTACTACTACTACTACTACTGCTACTACTACTACTACTACTGCTACTACTACTACTACGGCTACTACTACTACCACTACTACTATTACTACTACTTGTATTACTACTACTACTACTACGACCACCACTACTACTACTACTACTACTACTACTACTACTACTACTACTGCCACTACTACGAGTATTATTATTACTATCACTCCTACTCCCACTTCTACGGCTACTACTACTACCACTACTACTACTTCTTCTAGTACTACGACGACGACTGTTCCTACTACTATTACTAGTACCACCACTACCACTACTACTACTACTACTACTACTACTACTACTACTACTACCTACCTACTACGACTGCTACTACTACTACTACTACGACGACTATTATCACCACTACTACTATTACCACTACTACCACTACGATTAGTCTCCCCAGTAATGGTACCACTACTATTCTTACGAATGCTACTTATATTGCCACCACTACTCCTACTACTACTTCTTCTCCTACTACTACTACTACTACGACTACTACTCGCACTACTATTACTACTACTACTACTAAGATCGATACGACCACTATTATTAGTATTCGTATCATTTCCACGGCTACTTCTACTACGAATACTGATGTTATTACTACTTCTACGACTACAAATACGACTACTATTGCTACTACCACTACCACTACTATTATCACTACTACTACTACTACTGCTACTGCTACTACTACTACTACTACGACTACCACTAGTACTACTAGTGCTACTACTACTACTACTACTACTACTACTACTACTACTGCTACTGCTATTACGACTACGACTAGTCTCTATTACGAGACGACTATTATTCCTCACACGTTCTACAGTCATTGCTGCTACTACGACGACGACTATTATTACCACTACTACTACTACGACGACGAGTACTACTTCTACGACCTACAACCCCTATATCTATTACTACTACGACTACTACTACTACTATGTTTTCGACGGCTGCTACTACCTTTACCACTACCTACTACTACGTCTACTACTACTACGACTACTACTACTACTTTTACTACTACTACTACTACTACTACTACCAATACTAATACTATTCGTATTACTACGACTACTACTACTACTACTACTACTACTACTACTACTACTACTACGACTACTACTGTTACCACGACTACGACGACTACTGCTACTACTACTACTACTACTACGACTACTACTACTACTACTACTACTTCTACGACTACTACTACTACTACTACTGCTACTACTACTACTATTTCGACTACTACTACTACTGCCACTACGA